GGATTGCAAATTGGTGCAGTCACTATAGAAGACAGTATGGAGGTTCCTCAAAAATTAAAAAATAGAGGGCTGGCTGAGTGGCTTGTTGGTTAAGAGTTGGCTTGGGAGCGCGAGCTCTGAGCAGCAGGGCCGCTGGTTTGGATCCCACATGGGCCAGTGACGCTGCGCCCTCCACAGCTAAGATGGTGAACAACAGCTCAACCTGGAGCTGGGCTGCTGTGAGTCGCTGGCGATGGCGTAGGCTGCAGTGGGGCTGCAGTGGGCTGCCGTGAGCTACTGTGAGTGGCTGTCCAATGGCCGGTGAACGATTGCTTCAGCCGGGAAGAGCGCAATGATCACAATACCAACATGGGCCAGTGAAGCAGTGTCCTCCACAACAAGACTGAAGAACAAAAAGGACAGCAAGTTGTCTGTTCCCCTTCCCCAATTCTCCAATAAAATCTTTTTTTTTAATTAAAAATAGAACTACCTTATGACCCAGCAATTTCATCTCTGGGTATTTATCCTAAGAAATGCAAAAGACTAATTCATAAAGATACATGCACCCCTATGTTCACTGCAGCACCATTTACAATAGCCAAGATATGGAAGCAACCTAAGTGCCCATGAATAAACAATTGGATAAAGAAAAGGTGGTACATATATACACTGGGATATTACTCAGCCATAAAAAATAATGAAACTTTACCATTTGGGACAACATCGATGGACCTAAAGGTTATTATGCTAAGTGAAATAAGTCAGAGAAAGACAAATACCATATGATCTCACATATATGTGGAATCTAAAGAACAGAATGAATGAACAAACAAAATAGAAACAGACAGACTCATAGATACAGAGAATATACTGATGGTTGCCAGACTGGAGGGGGATCGGGAGGCTGGGTAAAAAAGTGAAAGGATTAAGAAGCACAAATTGGTAGTTAGGAAATAGTCACGGGGATGTAAAGTACAGCATAAGAAATATAATTAGTAGTATTGTAATAACTATGCATAGTGACAGGTGGCACTAGACTTATTGGGGGACCGCTTTGTAAATTAAATAAATGTCTAACCGCTATGCGTACACCTGAAACTAACATAAAATAATACTGAATGTCAACTGTAATTGAAAAACAAAAAATAAAATAAGTTAAAATAATGAAAATAAATAAAAATTATGGTGAGTCCAAACCAGTAGTTTTGGGCTAGCAACATAATATGCCTGAAGTTTAGAGCAAATAAAAGATGGCCTGATTTGAAAGTATTGTAGCTTTGGCAATACACCGAGTACCTCTGTGTGGTTCACACATGAAAGGTTAGTCTAAAAAAACAGACTTATTAGGAGACAGAGTTCATCAGTTATACAAAACCAGCTTTCAATATTCATGTGACAAAAGGTCAATTCCCAGAACAAAGTCATCTGCTGAAGACCAATTGTGAGAAATAAAGTCCACATAAAGCTTAGCTTCTGCCCTCAAGCAGGAAGAGACAAGGTACTACCTACATTGAGAGCTGTAACAATCGTTACAAGGTTGCAACATGCAGGCAATGGCAGGAAGGGCTTCCTCAGCTCATGAGCCCTCCTGGAAGGCTCCCTGGCGGGTGTAGCCTTGGAGCAGACCCTTGAAGTACAAGTTTGGAGGTTATTCCACGAAACTTGAAAATACTAATAGCCATGTCACGGAGCAGTTCTTGCTCCCTCTGGGGAGAAGGTGTCTGGGGAAATGTGCTAGAAAGAGGAGTGAGGTTCTATTTCAACATTCACTGAGCTAAGTGAAACTTTTCTCCTCAAGTTGTTTTAATTGGCTTGCAAAGAGCTGGTCCTTAGTGGCTAATTAGTACTAGATGAGAGTCGCCTATGGGGGAGAGTGGGTAGCACGTCCTGGGAGTCCCTGCTGCACAGAAGAGGCGCCTGGCACAGACCCGTTCTCTGCTAACTTGGGCCGTGGAGGGTGAATCATCAGACACAATACTGATTTCCTGGATGCTCCCAGGGAGGACTCTGCCAACCTGTCACTGCACCTGCTTGTAGGAGGAGAGACACTAGAGGGCCTGCATGATGCTGAGCTTTCATTTATAACCAGTTCATGTCCTGTGGGTGCCTCAGGAAGCCACAGCAAAGGCTGATTCTACATGAGTCCCTGGAGTAAACTCCTTTCCCTGGTTTCCCTATAGTCCCCTATGTAGTGGGCCCATGGGAAGTAAGGCAGGGAGCCAGCAAAAATGCATTAGAAGGTGGACCCCAGTAGTAGGAGGATTAGAGACCTGAGGCTCCTGGTGAATTAACCGGTGGGTAAGCTCTCACACCATGGCCAGTCCAAGTGAGGCAGAAGCGTCTCCTCTTTCTGCTCACACCATACTGCTGACCTTTTAGAGACTCCTTTTCCCCTTTCAGGCAGGACTTCCTGTATGGCGCGTGATGACTTCTCCCCTGAGATGACTTGGTAGGTACCATGTCTATAAGAGAGTGATTTTTTTCCTTTGACTCTGCACTGTCTACTAAGCTTACCAACTTCCCTCTATCCTTGTCCCCTTTCTCACACACAACTTTTGACTGAGAGTTAAAGGAGAGAGGGACTGAGCAATAAAACGATACCCCAAACCAGGGCTCTTTCCATTCAACCCTGCTGCCTTTTTAGGTCCCAGAATTTAGTGAAATCTCTCCACATTCTGGAGTAACCTTGTCAAAACTCTAGTTCTCTAGATTTAAATTTTTACTACTCTGATATTTTTGTGTCTAGGAATGTTCACTTCCCTGTTTCCCATTAGACTTGCTTACCACATCCTCAATGGATTTTCAATACATGATTATTTGAGATGAACAAAATCTCTTCTGAGCATTGTGGAGGATATGCCCATGCATCATCTATGATTCTTTTTCAAAATGAGCATGTAATGTAATAATGGGATGAGACACGTTTGCGGCTATGTGTAGGTAATGCAAGGAAGAATATGATGAGGTCTAAGCGAGTAACCTTAAATTAGTCCACATTATCATATCTCAAACATTTGCACTAAACTTCTTCTAAAATAAAATTCACAGTTCAGAATACATCAAGTTTATCACATGTAGTCAGTTTCCCACTGGCTCCAACATACATTTGGGGGTTCATGTACTACAGTCCGAGAAGCACTATGTTGTGTGCTCAATATATGTCTGTGGGATGTGATTAATAAATGAATTAAGGGAAATGCACAATTACTAGAGTCTTAAAAAAACACGGGAGTCATTCAGCAGAGAATGGATGAAGGAAAAAGGATGAGAATCAGGAGAGACAAGTCATGGAACAGATAAATATGTAAGTTGATGACCAGTAAAAGTATACCTTGAGGCCAAATCATGTTAGGCATTGTATTTGAAGGTAATATTTGGATTTATCCTGGCCTCTTCAATATTTCCTATAAGGATTGGCTGACAGGATACAATCAGTGCTTTAGGAGAATTAAACTAATTCTGTGTTCAGGATAACTATGTATAGGGAAAGGCAGGAGGCAGTCAGATCCAACATGAGGCTGTGGTCAAGGTAAGAGCTTGTCAGTGTCGGGACCAAGTCAGAAAGGAATCTACCATGAGGACAATGAGTACTGGTTAGCCATGAGAATGGAAGAGACTGAGAGAGAGAAGCAAGAGGAAAGAAGGTCAGTGAGACTGACCGCTGGAGAACTAGGTGAGTGCTCTCTGAACACCAAGATAGAGAAGGTGAGAACTGACCTTGTGGGCTTTTAGCCCTCAGGTGTAGAATACAAGAGGCTTGGGCTGCTGGATGCTTGACCCCAGCAAGTGGAACAGAGTCTGGACTTGGAATCAGAAGTCCTAGGTTCCAATCCAAATCTTGTAATTAACTCATGTTTTTATGTCTCTAAGGTACTATAGTAATTCTAGACACTTCAGCTTTAAAGGAAACTGCTTCTCCTAGCCCATCTAAACTTGAAGGGATACCAAGAATTCTATGAGGAAATCTAGCTACTGTCTGAAGCTTTCTGATACCCACCCCTAATACTCATGCTGAGCAGCAAAGCACCAAAAAGTTAGATTGGTGGTGAGGAGAGAGGAGTGGTGTGGGGATAGGATTCTGAGCTGTGAGAGGTGGAGGAGGTTGACTTGAGCCTAGGACAGAAAAAATTACCTAACTCAGTAATGACTAAAGGTCATGAGAGTAGACAGGAACATTCTGTAACCAACAATTAATAGCTGTACAGCCCTGGGTAGATTGATCTTTCTGTGACTCAGTAAATTGAAGATAATCTTGGCATCTCCTAATGTGAGGCCATAGAGGGCAGCTCACTCTCAGAAGATCCAGTTCTAAAGTCCTCTGAAATTCCCAGACCATTGTGGTGGCCCTGTCTTATAGAGTTGCCAGACTCATCCCCCAAAATATATCCAAATATGTCTTGTCCTTAGTTTTAATTGACTCTAAAATGAATGTTTTAAAATTAGCACTTTTGATAGATAACAAATTAATGGTTTTAGGACTTATATACACCTGCCATCCTCATATTTAGAAGAATGGTCATAATCACATATCTTT